ACTTGCATGCATACTTGTACAATCTGGCCATCGATTTGTGCTCGAGACCGATCAGTCATGCGAAGCTCAATAGTTCTGAGAGGCTAACCAGTAATTCGAATCTGCTGGCAGGCTTGAGTTTATCAAAAAGCTATATTTTTGCCGGTAGAGGGGGTGTAATGGCAAGTGGCGCCCTGTCACACACGCACGGTCCGTCCGAGGATCGATTCCCATACACATCGTCGTCCCAGACAACCAAATCATCATTCCTTCGGAGTCGGTGAATTGGAACCAGAACTCCGTAAGGATAAGAGCCCCGACTTGATAGAGGTTGGCCACCATAAATCAGTGTGCAGGCCACACACGCATTCAAAACACCACTACGATCCTTCATGGAAGTCGAATGTCAGGGCGCATCCCAAGATGGGATTGATCACCACCGAACATCCTGTGCTTGACCCTCCGATGTTGAATGATAGAAATGACGTTCGAAAATAATTAATTCCAGCTTCATATCGTTTTCCTCTCAATCAACAATCCGCAGTTACTTTTTCACCAATTCCTCGGGGGCACTTCGTATACATACAACACCCCTTGATGTGATTTTCTCGGTGGGTACATGAGTTAAGATGACACCGCTCAGTCGTAAAAAAACTTCTGCTAGAAAGAAGAACTTAATAGGAGTCATACTTAGACTAGCCTGACATTACAGGAACCTTTTCATTTACTATAAACTACCCAAACGGGTGTCGTACTGTACAAGTGAGTCACCTTACTAGTCATTCCTAATGACAAGGTCAATTTAGCATAAGATAAACTGCCGTCGTCATAGCCATTTTTCTTCCCTCCATTTCTCTCTCTCTCCTCCATTAGCTTTCCGAAAAGTCGAAAAGTCGTAAGTCGTAACAGGTTTTCTCCCACTGGACCCCCTGGGGTTGAGAATACGACCAGATGCTCTGCAGGGGGAAGCAACGATGGTGGGATTTACCGTTCGCGCACACTATTATTGCAATCGTAAACAGATGCAGTCGCGACCATTTCAGCTACGGCTTAAACCACCCTAAACAGGTGCCCCTCACGTTGGCCATTTCAAAATGTCATTGCCTTCAAGCCCCTTGGTAACGCGATCGAGCAATGATGATGCTGTTGAACGGGGTTGTTGACAGTCTGTCGACTTATTCAGGCCAGATTGGTCTTTCCCAGAGCAGCGAAATGATAGGTGGGAAACCGATTAGATGTTGAACATATTTCCCATAGTAAGGTCTAAAGTCGATAGGAAATGGAGAAAAGCCCGAAAATGTATGTGCCTATAAATTTTCAGAACTACTGCTGCCGATTTCCGACATCACCCTTACGGGACTTCCTCTCACTTATAAGGGGAGGGTGGGGGCAGGGAGAATTACGTGTTTCCAAAGAAAGCGATAACACGAGTTGATTAAAATCTTGCCCTAAAGCCTCAATGAGATCTTCTGAGCTGGAATTCCTGCTGGCAGCTAAATCTGGAAAGCCGGAAGCTAAGTAGTAAAAGGGCGAAGCGAATGGAACTCTGGATTCTCCATTTTACCCTGTTCCTCAGCTGACATGCCGCAACTCTGGAATTTGAAACCCTTCAGATGTCGGGCCTTCCTGTTGTCAAGCTTTTCTAGAAGTCCCGGAGCAGAGAAAACTTGCCGTGCCTCTGCTCAAGGAACTATCACCACCCCACCACCCCGTTCTCGTCGTAATCGTCTTTAACCCGACACTGTCACTGTTTGAATGAGGTTCTTAGCGGCGCTAAAAGGAGTGGAAGGAAACCCGTTGCCCAGTGTGTCAACAGCGCTAGGCGACGTCAATCGCGACTGTCAACTTTCGGCATCAGACTTGCTGTCCGATGTGTCGTGAACAGCTTGACCTC